AACTAACCCTGTGTTTCTTCTGAGTGTTAGACAAAGAGAAGGAAAACAAAGGACTATTTATAACCTAGGAGTGCTTATATAATTTCTGTTGAAAGGTCAAAAAATGCATTTAATTTTAGATCAGTCTTGGTCTCATCTGGTTATACGCTTGAACATTTTTATTTCACTACATAAAATAAGAACCTATTGTAAATATCCTCTGGCTAGCAGAGGCTTGGACTTTCACAACATTTTCCACCTGATCTTCTCAGAGTACTTCACAAACATTCACTCAGACCTGTCAGATTATTAGGTGGCAAGTTAATATTAGCTTCTTTTATAAAGCAAGAAAGCAGGCAGCAGAAATTTAGCAACTTGTCCAAAGTTACCCAGGAAAGTTAATAGCAAAGCTGGGACTGGAATATCGGCTTATTCTGTCCTACAAAGAGGATATTGCATTTCCTCTCCAGAAATCTTGGAAAATTCCACAGAGGGTTCACTTATAGTTTTCTTGTAATAAAGTCTGGTCCAGAAATGGGTAATCATCAGTCGTTTTTGCTGAACAAGTGTTTGGAACAGAAACAAATTTAGAATATATTTCCAGGCAATTAAAAGGACATTTCAATGGAAAAGGCAGCTAAAACAACACTCAGGTTTTCTGGAAGGTGGGAGAATATATAATAAGAATTAAAAGAGAATTCAGATATCTGAAATACTTTTAGTGTCAACAATATATATTTAGAATTTTAAAAGTGGTCTTTTGTATTTTGTATCTCACATTATGTTCTACAAAACCCATCAATATGTCTTTAACAGAATGGCAAATATGTAGACACAAGCATGAGGACTAAGGATTTTCCATGAAGCTTGGCCCCTACCTCAGAACAGATTGGGAGCTTTAGCACAATGCCAAATGCCAGCTTGCAAGGACTGAGGCCATAGTGCAAGGCTCACAGCAGGTCCATGGAAGCTTCTGTATTTACACCTGAAATTCTAAAACCGAGAGTGAGTTTAGTCCATGAAAAATTCATGGCAATCCACAGAAAATATGGGAAGTCTCTTGTAGGGGGCCCTTAGTCAAAAAAAAAAAAAAAAAAAAAGAAACCACCAAACAAAAAACCAAAAAACCCAACCCAACTGTGGAATCACTATTCTTCTTTAAGGCTGTCAGCTTCAAAACAACACTCACCCAGCATTTTCAAATTATCTGAGAAACTATTTATCTTGATTTTAAATACAGTAAAACTTTTATCTTTAGAATCCTAACAAGTCACACTGTCACCTGCCAAAAATGAAGCACAGAAAATAAAACTTTGCATTAATTTAAATCTCTGAATCTTGCCCACCTTTGCTAATGTAAACATTATACTAATTGGCAGAGAGGGAATACCATTTCTTCCCTTTTCTCAGAAATTGCTATTTTACAGAAGAAAACAAAATACACTTACAGCATCTGATGAATTTTTTTTTTTTTTTTTTTTTTTTTTTTTTGGCCAGACATCAGATCTGAAAGCCCAAAGACAGCAGAATAAGACAGAAGCAAATACATTTGTGTCAAATGCACCAAAAGCTGACCAAGTAGATAAAAGGGGATAATAGCTCTATAATGATAACTGTTAAACAGTCTACTCCATGAAGAGGCTGTTTAGGCCTTTACAGTCAGTTCGATGCTCGATAGTGGCCTAGAGGTGTGATTATCTCATAATATCTTACACTTGCTTTTTTCCTTCTGCTTGATTGTATGTGTAAATTGCATTAGGAGCTTTGAACAGTGACAATAACAGAACCTCTGTATATTGCTTCATCAGTTTACATAATATTAATCTTCCCTGACACTCACTACTCATCTGAAAATATTCCCACATTTCAATAAGGTAGAAGCTTGAAGAATGGCCTCTTTATCAGGTATTTCATTCAGCGAGGAAGTTCAGTAGCAATCTTTACTGGCAGTTTTCTTACCTATACAAAATGTGCTTTCAGTTGGAAAGATACTATTTATGTTCTAATCATACATATTGGCTAGAAAGAGATAACCAAAACTTTTAGCCATGGAAGTAATTTATCAAACAAAAAGCCACTCACTGAGCAAAAATAACAGAAACTTAAGTTTCTAACAAAAATGTATTGCTATTTCTGCCTCTGGAAAAGAGCTCTGGCTTGCCCTCCTCTTCTTCTCCAAACATTTTATTTATTATTTTTGTTCTATTCTACAGGCTCTAATTTTAACTAAGGTACACTCTGAGGACAAAACACAAAGGATATTTTGACAGCAGACAGGCTGTAAGTGGCATTTAGTCTATTTTCAGCATGAATTTAAAATAGCTTTTTCATTTTATGTAAATTGTGGCATAAATTAAGCAAATTACATTTTTATTACGTTAGCATCTCAAAGTTTTAATTAAGTGGGGGAAAAAAAAAAAAAAAAAGGCTGCTTCTTTGTAAGGTCCCAAACCTGCCAATTATTTAATGCAGATGGGTACTGTCATCCATCTGCAGAGACTGATGGTCACACCAAGATTTTACTTGCTTGGTTTTCCTTCATATCAGTGTGGAGAAAGACAGTGAAATTGAAATGAAACATTAATAACTATTCTGCATTGTGGTGAACCAGACATGGTGTTTTTTAAAAAAAAGTTTTTGAGAAGTCTTTCAGCTGAGAGGTATCAGACCAGTGACTTTGAGTTTAAATTCATGCATCCCACAAAGAGAGACCTAGCTGAATAGAGCACCACTCTTCAAGATTTGAGCAACTGCATTCACATCAACACCGACTCCTTAAAAAGCTCAACAGTAAATCCACGACGTAGTGAGAAGTTTGCTCAGATAAGTTAGAGGCAGCCCTTTCCCTCCAACAAAACATAGAAATGGCAGATCTGCCAGCAGTCTTATAGGTTACAACACTTGCCCAGGAAACTAGAGAACCCTACCTGCATGTAAAGAGGCTCAAAGCCACATCTGACTCTTGCTAGGGCAGTCATTTATTCTACGGGGAAGTTTTGGGAAGGGACAGACATGGCAGGCGGCCTCTGCATTCCTCCTTTTGAAGTTGTGCCACTGTCAGATAAGAAAGTGAGTTTCATGGAGCCAGAGAAGGCAAACAATGCAAAGTTTGTATGGGGAAGGCAGAAGTAAGCCTGTGCGGGGGAAGATAAAGTAGGATTTTATCTGAATGATTGAAATGCTCATCTGGGATGGATCTGATCACTGGTTTGCTCTGCTAACAGAGGTGCCAGTTTACATTCTGTACTGGAAAAGAAGAAACTGAGCTTGATGTATATACCACTGGAACAGGTCGTAAAAAAGTAAAGGTTGGGTGCCACTTCATCTTTTCGGCTACATTACAAGAAAGGACTGTTCTGACTTATGTGTCTAACTAAAAAATTGTCATTGCAGAGAACCCCAGTTGAAATAACCTGAAGCTATGTGCCTCACAAATTCATATCCAGAGAGTGCCTTACCTAGAGCCCTGAGACAGCTTTTAAATCCTGATGCACTTACAATAAGCTTACTGGCATTGGAATTACATCTGCAACAATGTTTTAAGCACGTATCAAGAATTAGACAGAGGAGGTAACTAGAAGTGATAAGAAACAATTTCTAGAGCTATCCCATGATTGCAACTATGTGACTTTGTTTCAGGCTGAATCAGATCGGTTTAGAACTGCTAAGGGTGATTTAAATGTAGGGTTCAGAAAACTCTCAGGGACAGGGAGCCAACGCGTTATTTTCTTTCCACACGCTTACAGGTGCAATGCTGGTAGCGACTCAGTATGAGCCAAGAGATACTGTTTCTCACTGAGACAGGAAGCTATGAATTACCAGCATTATAGCCACCTCTTTGTGAAGCAGGGACTTTTCTTGAATTCAGAACTCCACGGGAACCAAGATGTTGTGGTTCCTACCTACTAGCTTCGCTGGGCAACATTCAAAGTCTCTGTGCTACAAATTACTAATTCCCAGTCTATGCTAATCTGCTTGTACTCACCCTAAAACCTCTTAGTAGTATCCCCAGTCAGGCAGCACATCTCAGCTGAGGTAGAATAGCCACGTTTTCCATCCACGTTGTGCACTACTACCTCGCAGGACGACGGGCCTGGTTCCACCGTGCCACCCTGTGAACTGCAGCCAGGCATGCCCTGGAGCCAGCCGCATGTGCTGCAACGTCAGCGAGGGAATTAGCGCGGGCTTGAGGCTTACTTCACTATCCTCACAGACAGATCCTAAGCCTCCTAAAGTAGGGCTTAGGCGGGAGTTTAGACAGAGATCAGCAGCATTTAGTTCCTCAAAACCTCTACACAGCTGTTACTTCACACCGAAGACGCTTTTGTTTCGCTGACTTAAAGACCTCCAGGCCCCCAGAGTTCGGCCTAGGTGGAGATCGAAAATTAAGTCCCAACGCAGACGAAAGCCCTGTCACGACCCAGGCCGCGGGTCCGCCCCTGACTGCCCGCCGCAGGGAGGACGACCGAGCAACCGGGGCGCTCCTCACCGAGGCAGGCGGCCGCCCCCTCATCCCCCACGGCAGCGGCCGGGGGGA